TCCTTGAGGCATGGACTTCCAGGAATCCCTTCAATTAGTCTACTACAATCTTTTCCAACTAGTTCTAGGGCTCCAACTACAACAGGGATTGTTGATGTTCCCATATGCCACATTTTCGAGATTTCTATTTCAAGGTCCTTGTACTTTGACAACTTTTTGAATATCTTCAAAGATACATTGCAGTCAGCAGGGACTGCCATATCAATAAGGAGGCAGCGTTTTTGTTTGTGGTCTTTAATAACAATATCTGGCCGGTTGGCCTTGATTGTTCTGTCAGTGTGTATTGTGTAGTCCCATAGAATTGTAACAGGTCCTATCTCCGTAACCGGGTCTGGGTGGTGTTCATACCAGTTTCTTTCAGTTTCCTTCCCGTAGAAGTTGCAGATTTTCCAGTGCAGATATTGGCCTACTCTGTCATGTCGGGTTTTATTATTATTATTACTGTGATATCATCTTGTCAGATCGTAATTTTAAGTGTCTAATTACAAAGTCTCTTCCGGGGTCTATGAGTATAATGGGCACAGTAAGTGAGTTATCTATGCTTATTTAGGACGTTTCGATTAGACAGAGAGCATCTCAGAGCTACAAAATTCACTTCGTGTGGATGTCATGTGAAGTTCCACATTTTGTAGCTCTGAGATGCTGTTCTGTCCATGCATATTAATCACATAATTTTCGGTACCCTTCTTTATCATACTCATTGCCCCTACCCCGATAAGGAGAAGTTGTAATTTTAAGTTTCTAGATTTTTGTACTTTGATTTATAGGTCCTTGTAAATTTGACAGATTTCGAAATTCTTTTTTTAGAAACATTGGCAATCCTGAGAACAAGTCATATCAATTAGTTGGCAGATTCTTTCTTTTGAAATCCTTTATGGCTATGCCTTATCTATTTTCATCGATTCTCCTATCTTTGGGATATTCCGCAGTATAGTCACTCTGTCACCATTTGTGACCTCATTCGGGTGGTGGCTATACCATGGATCCGGGACTTTTTCTCAGCAAGGACTGGGCAACCTGCTACTACGCGGTCAACAGTTTCAACAAATTTACGGCATATTCAAAAGGCGGGGTTGGTTACTTCTAGGTGGTGTAATGGTTAGCAAGCTTGTCTTGCTCAGAACTATTGCGACTGAGTAGTGAGTTCGATCCTCACTGGGTACCCCATACTTTCGGCCTTGTGCCACATCTGAGCTATACTTGGAAAATCACTATTCGACAGGCGGGGTTTGAACCATCTTTGTTGACTTTAGCTTTGTAGGCAATAGTTGGAAGACATTGGTCATGTGCTGCCATGATAAGGCCTTCTGTCTCTCCTCACTTAAGAATATTAGTTCTAAGCCATTGACATCTATGTCTAGATACATTGGCTACTTTCCATACAATGATTAGAATTATTATTATTAATACTCCATGAGTATTTAAATGACACCTAATTGAGCTATCGTCAGAAAGATGTAGTGAGTCTTCGTATATATATATATATATATATATATATATATATCGTCATTATAATTATTATTATTAATTGTGGTATTATCGAACAGACATGCCAATGAATATGTTGTTCTAACGTGTTATTTCTAATAAAGTATTCTTTCTCAGCAAGGACTGGGCAACCTGCTACTATGTGGCCAATAGTTTCATCAAACTTATGGCTTAAACGACAGGCGGGGTTTGAACCATCTTTGTTGATTTTAGGCTTGTAGGCAATAGTTGGAAGACATTGGTCTTGTGCTGCCATCATAAGGCCTTCTGTCTCTCCTCACTTAAGAATATTGCTTCTAAGCCATTGACGTCGATATCTACTTTTTCCTGATTCTTTGGTTACTTTCCATCCAAGGGTTTAGATCTGCATTCTTGATCAAAAATCTTCATATCAGAGTGCTTTTGCCAGTAAGTTAAGTTTCTTTTTAAGCAGCGGTGGGAATTATTATTATTATTATTATTATTATTATTATTATTATTATTATACACTATCCACTTGTTTTCTATAAATATACGATAAAAAAAAAGAAATTTTTGAATTTCTGTAAAAACAATGTTATCGATGTTTGGAGGCTATGTTCGATTCTCTGCTGACAGTAAAGGAGAAAACAAAGAACTTTCCTAAGATTTCATTCCAAATCGCCTGCAGGTATTTGTTTGTGTAGGGCTGAACTTAATTTATGTTCATTTTTTTTTTGATGTTGTTAAATATGTGTTGCGATAACGAGGCTCCGCTTCGACAGCTGTCACCATAATATCATTAGCCAAAAATGATGGTTCTTCCAGAAGGAAAATTCGTCATAAAAATCTGTAACTTTGCTAAAACATTATTCTTCTTCTATGTGCCGTATCCTTCAGGCAGTTGATGATCATGCCTCTCCATAATTTCCTGTCGTTTGTAGCATTTAATAAATTTTCTTTTTTAATTATCTTTTGCAAACCGTGATCCGCCATCCATTCACTCAAGCTCAACAGGGAGGACATGCGTTGCATTCCTTTGTGAATTGTACCTTCGGTGTACCCTGTGAGTATTAGATTTTGCAAGAAAAATAATAACTCTTTTTGCTAAATCTGTGTTGCAGTAACGAGGCTCCGATTCGACAGATATCGCTAGAACATCATTAACCGAAAATAGTCGCACTTCCAAATGGACATTTCGTCATAAAAATAAGCGTAACTTAACCTTGCTAAAACATTTCTTCTTCTTCTATGTGTCGTATTCCTTTAGGGCGTTGGCGATAATAGCTCTCCACAATTTCCTGTCTTTTGCAGAACTTAATAAATTTTGTGTTTTTGCTATCATTTCTAAAACCTGACTCGCTATCCATTCACTCAAGGTCACCAGGAAGGTCATGAGATGCATTCCTTTGTCAATCTTACCTTCAGTCTATCCCATGAGTATCTGATTATTCAAGAAAAATAATACCTTTTTTTCAAAATTTGTGTTGCGATAACGAGGCTTCGCTCCGACAGATGTCACCAGAATATGATTAACCAAAAGTGGTCGTTTTCATTATTATTATTATTATTATTATTATTATCATTATTATTATTATTATTATTATTATTATTATTATTGGTGTTGTTATTATACAATACTCATATGGACCTTATAAGCGTGTATATATATATATATATATATATATATATATATATATATATATATATATATACACACACACACACACACACACACACACACATACATACATACATATATATATATATATATATATATATATATATATATATATATATATATATATTTATATATATATATATATATGTAAATATGCGGAAAAAGGAACATTTTAATTCTTGATAAAGGAAGGCTGCGTTCGATTCTTTAATTCTTGGAAAACAAATTTATTTCCTGTGATTTCATTCCAAATTGCCTGCGGGTATTTTTTTGTGTAGGGCTGAGCTTGGTTTATTCTCCTTTTTTTCTTTTTTGTGTTGCGGTAACCGGGTTCCGCTTCGACAGATGTCACCAGATCATCATTAGCCAAAAACGTTCGTTATTCCAGAAGGACATTTCGTCATAAAAATCGGCGTAACTTAACCTTGCTAAAACATTCTTCTTCTTCTATGTACTTTTAGGCCGTTGGTGATGATAACTCTCCACAATTCCTTGTCTTTCGCAGAATTTAATAAATTTTGTGTTTTTACTATATTTCTGATCTGATCTGCCACCCATTCACTCAGGCTCGTTAGGTAGATCATGAGTTGCATTCCTTTCTCAATCTTACCTTCAGTCTATCACGTGAGTATCAAATTTCCCTAGAATAATAATTACCAATACTTAATATGGCGGGAAAACGTATTTTAAATATTGTTATGGGTCCTCCCCTTTTTCATATAAGTGGACTCGACCAGAGTGTTACTTGGACTGTTGCCGTTAAATACCCAGAGTCAGTCAGAATATACAGAGAGAGTGAGCAGAGATTGTGATTGAGTTGGAGGTAGAGTAATAGTGTGAGGTAACCGCTTGTAGAAGTTACAGTTACAAGCAGGTAGACTCTAAGAAAGTCCTACTTCGAGACTGTATATATATATATATTGCTACTAACGGCGTTCCTGATTACCCATTGTATTATTGTGTAAATACATTTAATTTCTTATATTTAATTCTTGTGTTTGTTATTCATTGGATACCGAATTTCATCTCGGGATCTACAACAAATATGTATTCCGGTAACTATAACATCGTAAGCCAAAAATGGTCGTTCTTTCAGAAGGATATTTCGCCATAAAAATCAGCGAAATTTAAACTTACTAAAACATTCTTCTTCTTTTATTTGGAGGTGGTTGAAGGATAAAATGGGAAAATTCCTATCAAACGCGTTTCGGTGTTCGAGAGAGCTTCTTCAGACTATTAATGGTTTTATCTATTTTAAATTTTTTAATGATTTTATCTATTTTAAATTTTTTAATGGTTTTATCTATTTTACATTTTTTAATGGTTTTATCTATTTTACATTTTTTTTAATAATGGTTTTATCTGTTTTTTAATAATGGTTTTATCTATTTTTTTAATAATGGTTTTATCTATTTTACATTTTTTAATGGTTTTATCTATTTTACATTTTTTAATGGTTTTATATATTTTACATTTTTTTAAAATAATTGTTTTATCTGTTTTTTAATAATGGTTTTATCTATTTTACATTTTTTTAATAATGGTTTTATCTGTTTTTTAATAATGGTTTTATCTATTTTACATTTTTTTAATAATGGTTTTATCTGTTTTTTAATAATGGTTTTATCTATTTTACATTTTTTAATAATGGTTTTATCTATTTTTTTTTAATAATGGTTTTATCTATTTTACATTTTTTTAATAATGGTTTTATCTGTTTTTTAATAATGGTTTTATCTATTTTACATTTTTTAATGGTTTTATCTATTTTACATTTTTTTAAATAATGGTTTTATCTATTTTTTAATAATGGTTTTATCTATTTTTTTAATAATGGTTTTATCTATTTTACATTTTTTTTTTAACTGATCTTATGCGTTATTTTCTGTCTTTCTTGTCATTGGTTTTCTTTTTTATTTCCAGGGACGGTTGTGATCGTCGGTCTTTTGTTTTGTGGTCTGGTCTTGGTCGCCTTACTGCTTGTCATCTGGAAGATTTACACTAAAAGTCGAGGCAAGACCGCCAATTACGAACAAGTGTCCCCAGATACTAACCTCGTTTCCCAATCAGATAATGGAACCGGAAGTACAACATCTATCAAGTAAGCTATTCTCTACTCAAGATTCAAAAGAGAAAAAAAATTACCCATTTATACTATTTGACTGTTTGTATGATTCACTGAAAGAGACGTTGATTGATGAATTGGTTATTTTTTTACATTGCTATTCTCTTAATTTTCTATGTGCCGGGAGAAGGCCGGAGAGCAGAACGGCTGAAAAGTTGTGATAATAACCACAAAGATGAAGACAATATTAAATATAAACGATATAAATAGAATAATTTCCCTTTGAACTTAATTCTGAAAGGAATATTCCGATAAATTGTTGAAAGCACTGACCAATGAGTGTTACGAATTTACTCCAGCATCTCCTGCCATCATATTTTGCCACATCGAATTGCCACAGAAAGTAATGTCATGTAGCAAAGTTGCAGAACAATTTTCTTGTCCAAAAAAAAAATATTCTTTCAATATGTCATTCAAACGAGCCAATTGCTTGCTTAACCTTACACTGTATCCAAAGCATGGAAGACGGGATCGGCTAATGAAGGTCGAATCTCGCAATTTCCGTTATGATTTCTTTTCTTATTTGAATCAATATTCCTGAGAAAAATGTGAATCTATATCCCGTCGCCAGATATTAAGAGCTTCATCACTAGCATGTCGCAATAGTTTTTTTAGGTTTTTTAAAATATTTTAATCATTTCACCATCAAGCAGAATGATGATGTTAAGACGCAAAGGGGTTACTGAGAGTAAAGGAAACCGAAAACACGTTATTGAGAGGAAAGACAATAAAAAAAACAGTAATAAATGGGGTACATATCGACTGACGTTGCATTTAAATTTATGAATATCGTAATTGGCACAAAACACACAAAAAAAAGAGATACACGAGCAAGAAATGCTAGAGAAGAAACTATTAGAATAGAACTTGCGGTTACAACTAGTATTTCAACAGTAAAATGCTGACATCTAGCTGCCAATCTATTATTGTTCTTTAATTCATGTAGTAGAAAGCCCACCAGAAAACCTTTATAAAAAAAAAGTTACGGTGAAGCTACGTTTCCGGCGGTGGGAAAGTGACTGAAGCCGAGATGCCAGGTCAGGATTGATAACATTACAGACACTTTGGATTTTGTCAAGAATCATGTGATATATAGCAGGATCACCAGACGATATATGACCACAATATTCATTACACGGCCAAATGTTAGATTTATAAATGCGCAAGTAGAAAGTGTTGCTTCGAATGAAATGATTAAATAAAAGACCAAAATCAGTAGAATACCCAGTCGGAATAAGCACAATAAAAGACGATATAATCTAAACTTAAAAATCATGATGAATTGGATCGTAATTACGATTTCAATGTAATAAATTATAACCATGACATATTAGTGTTTAAGCTTTTTTATTATATATATATATGTGTGTGTGTGTGTGTGTGTTAACCAATTCACTAGACATTCCTGGATATTGAGTTCTACCTGGATTCTATCCTCTTGTAAATTTTTATACATATATGTATGTGTATGTATGTATGTATATATTTATATATACATACATCTTTATATATTTTATATATATATATATATATATGTGTGTGTGTGTGCATACTAACCACTAATATTATATATATATATATATATATATATATATATATATATATATATATATATATATTTCTTCATTTCTTGTTGAACTCTCAGCATTCGGGCGGAAAGGAACGCCCCATATTAAAAAAAAAAATGGTCTTGCGTCACATCTTGCCTTGTGGGGAGGTTGGTAAATAGTGAGTTTTGCGGGAGCTGGTTTTTTTGAGGGGGGATCTGACCCGAATACACCTGCTCGGGCTCCCCACATTAAACTAGAAATTGCGTCACATCCTGCCAGCGTTAAACAAAAAAATCCAATCAGTAACAAGAGGTCAAATTCCGTATTAATGGGCAGGCATGAATCAGCTTCTTCCCCTTAAAAATATTTATCCTTCATTCTCATACTATCTTGTTTTGGCGGGAATGAGGAAAAAGAAACTCCCTTTGGCACTAGAATGGTTACGAAGGATCCGGCATTGTATTCTGACGTTCTGTAAATATTCTGGATAATTTGAATTGGGCTTTTGTAATTTTACACAAATTTGAAGTGGAAATTATTACTGAGAAGAAACAGTAATTTTCCCCGGGAAATGCTATGAAAAACACAGTCAACGATAAGACGCGAAATAAGCCACATATAAAATTCCATGCAAAAAGTATCTAATTTCTTTGGCAGCAGTTTAAATACCGATCCCATAGCTTCCTAATTGCATTTAGGAATGTAAATAACATGATTGTTGATGGAATTTAAAAATAATTTGTAGTATATATTCTCCTATGCCACCAGCGGATAATTAGTGAACAATATATACATATATATTAAAGACATTTTTTTATGTTTAACATTCTTTTTATAGATACAAGTATTTAAGTAAATGCTCTGTTTATAATAAACAGTATTAAATAACATTTACCGGCTTGAATGTCCGAGAAACTTTCATAGAAAATATTCGTCCTTTGACAGGATTCGAACCTGCATCCTATACGGAACCGTCATTTACGCTGACGTGCCTTAACCGACTCGGCCACAAAGGAGCGTTCAGTAGGCAAGGTCGAATTTACTGCTTATAAACTTCAATCTTCCATGAATCTCGTACATTCATACCTGCTCATGGAGTATCAAATGTAAACAAATGACGTCATACATTAAGAATGTCTTTAATAAATTGTCGGACTTTGTCCAATTCTTAATGTATATATATATATATATATATATATATATATATATATATATATTCAAGCATATATTGATAAATATAACGGACAACGAATGTCTATTATGTTTGATCATTAGCCATTCTAATCATAGTATACTTGTTTTAATTTCAGGAAAAAATAACGACAAAAATTGTCCAACATCTGGATATTTTTATTATAATTATGCTGTTCCTTGATCGAAGCTTTCGGCTTACATCATCGCATAGCAATTTTCTATGTCAATAACAGTATATCAACTTTGATCTTTGTTTAAATGTCCGTATAACCATTCTGAAGATGGATTAAGTGACCCGAAAGCTAAGATTAAGGAACAGCATAATAAAATTATCCAAATGTTGGACATTTTTTGTCTTTATTTTTGCCCGAAATTAAAGCCACTTTACGAAGTTTAGAACGACTCATGATCAAAAGTAATAGATATTTAATGTCTGTTATATATAACTGCCTCAATACACTATATATATATATATATATATATATATATATATATATATATATATATATATATATATATATATATATATATATATATATATATATGCATACATATACATGAATTATTCACACAAAAACTAATGCAAAGTTAATGATTTAAATGGCGAGACATCCATCATCGCAAACAATTCAAATAATATACAAAAACCTCCGAATCCGTTATGAATGAAATGACCCTTGTTTATATAAATTTCTGCCGTATTAGTTCTTATTTTTTTACTACAAGCTTTCGTCTGTTCCTACAGACATCTTCAGGTATAGAATAGATGTTGTTCTTGTTTTTTCTCTTAGTAATAAGAGGACAACGAAAATATATGTATTGTTGTATCCGAAAATGCTATTGAAAATGAGTTACTGTTTTTGGAACGCGCAGAAGCAACGCTGAGTTTGATTTTGAATTTTTAAATATATTTTATATATATATATATATATATATATATATATATATATATATATATATGTATACATATATATATATATATATATATATATATATATATATATAAATCAACACTTAGAGGCGACAGTCTGTTTCATGCTATATGCAATCGTCAGGCCACATATGCTGTTATTTTTCTCGGCTATTTATATATATACGGGTTAGTGGTGCATTCTGGGTATTCTATTATCGTGGTTATTTTACCGGAAGTCGTTTGTTTATTTATTTGTGTCAAGTTATATTGCTCGTTTTTATTTTTGTTTCTTATTTTATTTATTTATTTATTAACGTAGTAAAACTGTGTTTATATCACTTATTTAACAGTTTTGTTTTGGTTTGAGAATTTAATTAAAGCTATTTGTTCAATTTTGGGGGTGGGTGGTTGTAGTTCATTCTACTTATTATTTTGCGGGAAGAGTTTTTAATTTGGGATTGGTTTGTCTCTTTATTTACTTGGATGAATTTAGGTCAATTTATTTTACTTCTATATTTTCTCTTTTTCGGTTTTCGGTTTTAAGCAACATAGTATTTATTTATTTTTTATTTCTATTTTTATTAGTGTATTTATTTTTTTTTTATTTTATTTTTCCGTTTTTCATTTTTTAGGTTACGTAGTAAAATTTATTTTCATGCCTGCATTTTGAGATGAGCTCGGATCTTTTATTTAATAATTTATTTTGGTCGGGGAAAGTAATGATAACTATTTTTTCCTCCAAGCAAAGTTTGCAAGTTTTTGATTGGTTGTTGTAGGCTAATGACTTTTTCCTTATCTTCCGAGATATTTTGGTGTGATGTGCGTTTTGTTTTTAATTTCCCAGATATACTTAGAAAGCATTGTACTGTTCGCATATTTACTATTTGTGAAAGATGTTTTGTGTGTATAATTTCTTTGCTTCAGGGTCCTTCAGTTACTCCTATGTATACTTTTTTTCTTCATTATCTGGTGATTTTATCGTGGCTTGGTATATTACGTTGTTTTGTAAACAATTTCCGTTTAAGGGACATTCGTTCTTTATTCTTCAGTTGCACGTGGGTTTAATTTGTTCGTGTGGTTTGTTGATAATTTTCTTATTCTGCTTTTTTATTATTTTTGCTATGCTCTCGGTGCAGCTGTAGCTGATTTTTACTGTGTTTTTGTTGAATATCTTATGTAAGGTGCGTGTTTTTGTTGAAT